CATGCCCAAGAGCTGCTCTTTAGCCACATGTCCTTGTGTGTGAATATCCATATACATCCATAGCTTAGGCATATGTGCATCCATGAGCATGTTCCTGCCAGCACCTGCTCTGGGTCTGGTGTTTAGGGGGAATCTGTTGAAGGTTCTGGAGACAAACTGCTGAACATTTAGGCCTACCCCATGCCAGTTGCTGGGGGAATGGGGGTTAATATATGGAGCTGACACAAACCAGGCCACCCCTGGCAGCAGGCCTAGGATGTCTGGAGGGCTCTAGCTTGCCTCTGAGGAACCAGATCCCTAAAGCTCTTTCTGCTTTGCTTCTTCCTTCTTACTGATAGGAAAGCTACTGGGGCCAAGAGGTCTCTTCCAGAAGAGGAGAAGTCAAGAGCAGTGGTATAGAAAATGGAAATGCTCACAGGTTCCTGGGTCCAAACTAGAGCTGAGGATTGGCTCAGTTCCCCATCCCGGCAGCAGGGGGGAGGGTATGGGGGATAAGGTTAGATTGGCTTCCTGCAAAAGAATAGATGGAGGCCAGTGACTGTTGGTCTAGCAAGGAGTGGGCAGCCATAGAGAGGCTAGAGAATGAGATAAACTCCTTGGGACTGTGAGCCCAAATCTCATGCAGGAGACAGTGGGTATTTAGGCTGTGCTTATTTGAGCTCCAGGGCTCTAAGCTGTGAGACTGATGCAGCTGGAGGTGAGGAGAAGGAAAGCCAGGAGACAGAGCCTGGACCTTTGGCAGATGCTCACCCACCAGGAACAGCCACTAACAGAAGCTGCAAAGGGTTTAAGCATTTGCACAGGGAAGGATCTCACCAGCTATTCAGTGGGGGATGGGTTGGAAGGAGAGGTACTAAAGCCAGAAGGCCTGGGAGGAGCCATAAAGAAAAAGAGGCCAGATGCATGGAAATGGCCTGAGGAAGAGAGCTTTAAGGAGGCAGAGTGAGGAGCACAGGTGGGCAGAAGTGGGTGGAAAAGAGCTGGACCTGAGGTCTGAACCAGACACCACTGGCCCTTGGCTCTATGGAGGACCTCACAATAGAAGATGCATTTATAGAGATTTCGGAGAAGGAAGCACCATCTGCACCATACCAAGAAGGCTATGCACGTGCTGTATGAATCCCAGTTACTCTCTCCTCATCCCAACTCAGGATGGCTGCTAATTACAGGGTAGCTGCTAGCCACCCGCCCAAAGGGAGAGGAGTCACAGGGGAAGGCTCAAGGGGAGGGGCCAGAGTGCATCAGGAGATGCTACAAGTAGAGCTCAGAAATTTCTTCCTTAGGGTCTCTAGATCAGGGGTCAGTGGGCTAAGAAGTTATGAAATGGGAGGGGACGTATTGTGAAGGGACAGAGAAAAGCCAGGATACCGTATTTGCCTATTGTTTTCATCCACACTGTCAAATGACAGGTGAGACGGGAGCTGGATCTCAATGCTGCCTTTTAGTCAAGGCCCAGTCTTTGTTGTTGTTGTTGTTTTAAACAGGGTGTGTCTGTGTAGCCTTGGCCGTCCTGGACTCATTTTGTAGACCAGGCTGGCCTTGAACTCACAGAGATCCAAGTGCTACTGCCTTCCCCTGCCTCCCTGAGTACTGGGATTACAGGTGTGTGCCATCGTGCTGGGCTTCAAGAGCCTGTCTTGACGTCTTTGGTCCTTGGGTGCCTCAAGCCCTGTCTTGTGGAACAGAGGAGAGCTAGGTCTTGCTTTTGGGGGGCAAAAGTGTAGGTTTCAGTTGGGGTCCACCTGAGCACACAGTTCCATCCCACATGCCTTCCTTTCACCCTGTCCCTCTATGTCTTGGTTCTAACAGCTGTATGCAAGGCTTAGGAAAAGAGGTGAAGGGGAGAACCATGAGGCCAAAGAAGGAAGGGGGCCAGGGGTTTCCCTCCTTGTCTGCCTTCTGGACAGAGCTACAGCTCAGGCCTTTCTCTCCTTTACTCCCCTCACCACATCTCACCTCACCCCTTGGCCCAAAGGGCAGGCTCAGCATAGCTGGAGCAGCTTGTAGCTTTACCCCCAGCTCCCTGTTTCCCTGGACAAGTTCCTACATGGCTGAATCTCATATAAACCAGAAAAACTATGCTCCCCACCCACCTTTCAGAAGCTGAGGAGCAAGAGGAAGTCTCCCCCTGGAACACCCCTTTTCTTGGTCCCACTTAGTTCCCTGGGGCAATATGAGGTGCCTCCTCCTTCTCGGAAGCAGGGGAATAGGCAGAATGGCTTTTCTCGTGGAGGGTAGAGATGACTCAGGTGCCCTAAGCTTCCCCTCTCCCTTATCACTCACTTGGATTAATGCTTGACTCACAAAGTACCGGATGTTTGGGAGGGGAGGTGACATGTATATTGGGGAGAGGCTATTAGCCCAAATCTGACTTAATAGGATTTCATTGAGCGTAACCTGATGTACAGACCCTGGGTTTGGGAGGGGGGACACATGTGCTTTTTCTTCCAAAGTTCTGGCTCAATGTGATGAACTCTGAAACAGTCCTCCTTTCTGGCTGCAATAGGGCTGACCTCCTCTCAATCCGAATACTCTTAGCCTCTTACTTTGGAAGTCTAAACAACCCCCTCCTAAAAGGAAAGCCTTTCTCCGGGACAGAGGAATGAGTACAGGATTCCTACTGCTTACTTGAGAGGTTTTCCTCCTGCCCTGCTCTCCATGTGCAGTGATTCTTATGCCGGAGACAAAACAACCCTATGTACACACAGACATAGGCATACAAATGTGTACATGCCCATTCCTAGTGAATACAGAACACACAGATCATGCCATGATCAGGAGACCCCATCCCTGCCACCTGCAGTGAAGAGCACGCAGAGGCAGGCCCTCCCAGGGGGATGTACTCCAACACCATCTCTAACAAACATCCACAAGGCTTTCTCTGAGCCTTCCTTCCCCACCTCTCTCTACTTCCTCACCTCTCTCTCCTCTCTCCTGCAAGTTCTAGCTCCTGTCTCTAACCCTCAGTCAAAACCTGAATAGCTCCCTCTTCAGGTGCCTCCATGGACAGAGACATGATTGGCCCAGCAAGCCAGTTATCCTGCACTGCAGCAAGGAGCCAAGACACAATCAATCTCTTGCCTCCTGGAGATCTGAGGAAAACAGTTTGGGAGTTGCCACATGAGGACTTTAAATGAAAGCTTAGGCTTCCTGCCCTGTCTCTAGCAAGAGACAGTGTGCTGGAAAGAGTGGTATAGCTCCTTGGGTTTCTGAGATCTCAGCATCTTCCTTAGCTACTAGGGCATGCAGAGGGAACTGAACAAGCCATTGCCATATACATTCTATAGATGGCAAGAGTTAGTGAGGCAAGCCAAAAGGAGGCCCAGTCCCCGGTGGTTAGGTGGTTATGCTATCTGTTTCTTAGAGCCTTCTGGTACAGACCTGCCTTTGGGGCACTCTACCCACTCCTTCCTCCAACTGCACTGTCCGGAGCTGGATCTGTACAGGAGCCTGAAGCTGCCTTGCTGATGAAACAAAATGGTTTTGAAATGAGCTAGCCAAATCTAAGTTTCGTCACAAGGGAACTTGCAGAAATAGGCCAAGGAACCAAGGGCAAAATGAGTAGAGACAAACAAAAGGTGACTTAGACCATGGCCTACATGGCTTTGTGAGGGAGATTATGCTTCTCCACAAATGGACTATGTAAACGGTGTGGACCCCAATTGGCTCCTTTCCCATACTAATTTCAAGCCTGGGCTGAGCTGTCTAACGACAGTAGGGGCAGAATAAAGTCCACAAAGACAAAACTGGAGACCAGAGTTCCTGCATGTGGCTTCTCAAAAGTGATTGAGCTCACCTGCGGTCCCACCCAGCACTGAGCCTGATTCCTTATTCAGAAAGTTTAAAGTACCTCCATTATAGGGCTGGTAATGATTATATAACCACATTTCTATACATAAAATATGAAGTCAAACCAGGCATGATGACATACACCCATAATCCTAGCACTTGGGAGACTCAGGAATTCATCTTATACACTGATTTCAAAGGTCATCCTGGGCTACATAGGACCCTGTCTCAAAAGACTAAGAAAAGGTATGTAAGGAAACACCTAACAGTGTTAGCATTGTTCCTATGCACTAGACACTTAATAAAGCACTTTTTAAATCTCAGGCTTTTTTCCCCCATTATATTTGTGGGGCAGGGGCTTGTGTGCAATGGGTAAAGGTCAGAAAACAACTTGCAGAAATGGGTTCGCTACTTAAGACTAGCCTGGCCAGGAATTCAGAGATCTACCCCTCTGCCTTCCAAGTGCTGAGACTAAAGGCATATACCATCACACCAACCCTCCCCACCCCACCCCCTTTTTTAAGTTTAAGACAGGGTTTCTCTGTGTAGCCGTGGCTTCTGACTGTCCTGGACTCCCTTTAAAGACCAGGCTGGCCTCGAACCTGCATCTCAAGTGCTGGGATCCACCTGCCTCTGCCTCCCAAGTGCTAGGATTAAAGACATGCACCATCAACCCCTGGTTTAAGGTTTATTTTTATTATTTTTATCTGCATGCAGGTATGTGCACATGAGCACTTACTGCTCCTGGCATCAAAGTTACAGGTGATTATCAAGTGCCTGATGTGGGTGCTGGGAACCAAATTTGTGCTTTTTGATAGAGTTATTTATTTATTTTAAGACAGGGTCACTCTGGCTGTCCTGGAACTCGGCTCTATTGACTAGGTTGGCCTCGACTTCACAGATCTGCCTGCCTCTGTCTCCCAAGTGCTGGGATTACAGGCATGTGCCACAATGCCCAACTAATCTTAGGCTTTCTTTCATCAACACCACCTCATTGGCCCTAGGCATCGTGCACAAGTTCTGCCTGTTTCTTTGTGGCCTTCTGGTTGTAGCCCTGGCCTCTACCTGCTTGGGCTGGTGCTTTTATACACATCTGTCTGAGCCTCATTCCAGGTGCCATGAGAGCACCAGGTCACCTGTGCTCAGCATGCTCTGTCCTCACAAAGCTTTCTCATAGGTCAAGCTGGTATCATGTAGGAAGACAAGTCAGGTACCCAGAAAGAGTTAAGCAATTTAATTTTAAATCAGAGTTCAAAACAATAGAAGGTGCACGCTGGTATGCCTAACTACCAAGTGAACTCAACAAGGAGTAATTGCATTCACAGTTCACAGGAGGGAAAGAGGGGTGGGGGTGAGGGCAGGGACTTAGGAGGGGTGCTATCTGAGCTGAGTCTAAAAAAACCAGCCAGGATTACGGGAGAAAAGCAGGGAGTAGCTGCCAGAAGGGGGTGTGGATCAGGCTTAGAGGAGGCATCCTGCCTCCCTCAGGGCTCCTGGAGAGCAGGTGTGTGGCACAGTAATGGAGAATGATAGGCAGCTGCAAAGAATGGGTAGGACTCTCACTGAGAGCCCAGGCCGCAGCACCTGGTGCTTTCTGTACCTCTTCTGGGCTGGGGGATCCCCCCCAACTCCATCTACCCAGCCCCTGCCTGGTCTGTGTCCTTTTCTACTGTTACTACCTTGGGAGGCAGCAGCACCAACACGGGAAAGCATTGTGCCTGCTCAATGGGTTCTACTCATACACACGCCCCCCGCCCCCCCCCCCCCCCCACTGCTCAGTGCCCCGTGCTGGGGCCCTCTGAAAGGCTACAACCTCTTTGAACCAGCAAAAGTGAAAAGCACACTGTTATCTGGACATGTATGTCCTGCCAGTGGGAAGATAAAGATGGGAGAAAAAAACAAAAAGAGAAAACAGCTCAGGCCAACTGAGGGCTGACAGGCAAATGGATTCAGTTCCTTCTGAGCTGGCTCCTCCTCTGGGAATTTGGATGGTTGGACCTAGGGGATATAGGGCACCACGGCTCCTGCCCAACTACTGAAGCATCAGACTGAAGACTCTGTCAGGGCCTTCTCTGGGGAATGATTCAGTGTGCTCAGGACAGCAGGTGTCCATACTGCAATGAGACTGGCTGCCCGCTGACATTCTGCTTCAGAGATCCAAAGTCCCATGGTGCACCTACTGCTTGTCCCAAAGCTGGAATCACACAGTCCACCTCTCACTTCGGGCCTCTACAGCCTGTACCAGGCCTTCACCCAACACAGCAAAGTCCTCCAAGATGGCTTCTATGTTGGGCACCATCATAAGCTCCCCACCTCGAGACACCACCATGCGTCCCTTTATGCTGGAGGCCTGAAGAATCAGAGAATACACTTGAGTTCAAGGGTCACAAAAGCACACCCTGAGATGCAAAGCTGGGGGCAACAGAGACAGATAAGTCCCTACATACACTTGACACAGGCCACACAGAAATGCACACCCACAGAGAGCCTCATGAACACACCCAGCAATGCACAAAAGCCACTGGTCAGCATACCTTAAAGGGCTGGGGCTGGAAGCTGCTGGGCTTCCAGAGGACTCCAATCACCTCTCCACCATGCTGGTCATAGAAGAAAAGAGCCAAATCTTCAAAGGCCTCCTAGAAAGGACACAACACAAGCAAGATTACAACAGGCACCTGAGGACGTCCTCCATAGCTCGCTCCAGCTCCCCAGGCCACCCAGTCCTTTCTTGAGAACTTACCCTGAGCTGTGCCAGATAGAGCTGAGGGGGATCATAGCCTAGGACAGGCATCAGAGAGGAAGGCCCCAGCTCAGCGAGCAGACCACGGCAGAAGGAAGCAGCCGGGGTGTCTACAGCTTGGCGGTGTCGGGGAATGTGGCGTGGAGTCAGGTGGATCAGTACATCATACATGTCGAAGGACGGCCGGAAAACTGTCTAAGAAAGCCTTTAAGTTACCCTTCTGAGTACCTCAGTACCAGTTCCCATGCATCTGGCCATCCATTGTGGGCTTGTGTGGCCTGGTGAAGGTAAGAACAAACTCCACAGAGAGAGCAGCCAGGGCCAGTAGATCTAGTCCAGAAGCAGAAGGTAAAAGGAAGCCCAGGATTTCCACCAGGCTCCATGGCAGCTTCGAAGCCATCTCTGTATTTAGTCTCACCAAACAGAGCAACTGGGCAACCTGTGAGGGCCCCTTTAACTGAGGACTCTGGGAGTTACTAGGAGTTACTTCGAGTCAGAGCCTTACCCTAATGTCCCCAGGCCCCCAGGGATCCATCAGCTGCTTCTCCAGAACAGGAAGGGCCTTCGCTGCCAGGCTTATGAGCTGCTGAAGAATCTGAAACACAGAAAAATCACACCAAGATTGTAGGCTAGGCCTACTTTCTTCTAAGGATTAAAAAGAAAAAAGAAAAACCAAATTTAGGGATATGTATGGGACTAAACCTGGGCAGAGGGTCTGTCCTGTGTCCACACAGAGCTTCTGCGGTCCTGGGGAGTAATGATGACCATGACTGGGAGCTGTGTCCGAGCTGCCAGGAAACTACTTCGAATCTCTACCTGCTCCTCAGCTACAAAGGACAGGAGATGTGACATCATCCTCCCTAAAAGACCTTTACTGCCCCAGTCCTCCTACAGTGTACCCAGCAACTGCCTATCACAGGAATTTTCCAATTTCCCTCTCCCAAAGGACAAAGGTTATAAAAGGAATACCACATTCGCCTAATGGGGTGGGGCATTACTCTCCCAGCTTCAACCCAAAGGCAGAGTTTTCCACTGCTTGTCACCCCCGACTAGTCTCTGGCCTGCACAAGCTGAGGCCTGTTCAAGGGCCCCTCATCCTAGGCTCTCACACACCTGGAGAATTAGGAACCCAACACCCTGCTCTCTGCCAAGACCCAGAGCTCCTAAGATTACAACGACAAAGAAAAACAATGCCACCCTCAAGGTGTGGGCACCTAGTCTAACTTCCTGGCTCCCTACTCAAGACCTCTCACCTAGCATTCAAAAAGCTTTCCTTTGTTCTCCCTTGCTTCACAGACCCCCCTGGGTGGCACTTTTGTCATGAAGCACCTAGGCAGAGCTTTCTAAGTCAGGCTTGATATGGGCCTCTTCTGTATGACAGTTCTCTTCCCAAGACAGATCATTAAGCTTAGACATCTGGGATGAAGGAGTCCTACCTAACAGACTTACAGGGAGACCCCACCTGTCTTACTGTGTCATCTTAGACAGGGGAGTTCTTCCCAGTGGTCTGATCTGAGTCCTACCACTTACCAGTCAGCTCACTGTTGAGATTGACAATGAGAGGGTTATTCTTCCAATCGAAGGTAGACACCAGGCAAAGGAACCGAAGAAAGCCAACCTGGGGGGAGCTGAATAGATGGAATGAGAAAGAATCTGAGGCCTGATGTCCCCACCAATCTTCCCATAATCCCTTAGTGTAGGAGGTGTGGATATCTGAAAATGTCCTCTATCACACATTCAGCCACCCTCCCCCATTTAGAATGAGGATTGCATCATGAAGGGCAACTTCTCAGGTAAGGTAAGTGTTTAAGTAATTACCTGGGAGGGGTGAAGGGCTCAGAGTGCAGGAAGAGGGCAGCAGCCACCAGATCCAGGCTCTCGTCAGTGAACCCCTCACCCAGAAGCTGGGCACGCACCCACCGCTTGGCCAGGCGGGCCACACCTGAGAAGGCTGGGTGCTGCTGCTGGAGTCTAGGGGAGGAGGAAATAGTAGTGAGACTTGGGAATTCAGGGCCACAAACAGTGTGTTTGCCTGTCACTCAACCTCTGCCCAACACTGGCCTCTGTGCTAATGTGTTACATACACTATCCCATGTTCTAGCTAACACCTAGGAGACTATTACTATTTTACAAATGAGAGATTATGCTATCTGGCCTCCCAGACAGTCTGGCAGCCAGGAGAGCAAAATGGGAGCAGGAAAAGGCCTATCTCCACGGAGAGCTTATGCATGTGGGCTTACCCATGCAGGGCACTGGTGAGCAGGGGCAACAGCCTGGTGTCTTTGTCAAGGCGGAGGGAGGCAGGTGTGTCTCTCATAGAGACCATCCCCTCGGGGCTCCGTACCTCCCTCAGGATCTGTGGTTCCCGCTGATAAGCCACTCGAATTCTAAACACAAACCCATCCTGTGGGAAGATGTGGCAAAGGAAATGAATACCTGAGCACTTGGGGATGCTCTGCTGCCTGCACCCCTGGTTCCCCCACCCACTACCCAGTTATGCTCTTGTACTCTCTGACATCCCTGGAGCCGGTTCTCTGGTCATCCCCTGTTCCAGCCTGACCTTGAGGACATCGGTGTGTGTGGCAGTGGCGCGGCACTGTAGCCTATGCTGCTGTGTCAACACCTCTGCCAGGCGTAGCTGGAAGGCAGCTCGGACGCGCTGTACAGCCTCTGCGTCCTGAGGCCACTGCCCACTGCCCTCCAGGTAACAAAGCACTGAAGAACAAAAGGGGAGAGATCTAATATTACAGCCAGCTGTGTTTCCTACTCCCTTCCAAGGACCCTCTTACCAGTCATGGGCTCCACATAGGCTGGGCAGGGCTTATCCAGCCGGGGCAACAGCAAGGCCCGCTCTTGGAGACGGTTATAGAAGGAATAGGCGGGTTGGACGGGAACTGGAGGGAACACCTGTAGAAGAAATGAGGACAGTGACTTTGACAGGAAGGGAGAACACAGGCAGGAGGGAAAAGGGAGGGACACTGAGTGAAAGGAACAGAGGTAGGGGAAGGGGAAGCACCAAGCACAACTTGCACCTTACCTCTGTATAACGCAACACTGGGTGAGTTCCCTGAATGGCAGACACAGTGAGTGGGAGACCCTCCAGCCCCCACAGCAGGCGGCTAAGGTCATCATAGCAACGCACAGCCAATGCCAGGGCCTCCTCACCTGTGTTGGAGGGCTGATAAAGAGAATACAGTCAGGAGGCAGTCTGTGTCTTATAAAACCCCAGCATCACCTAGGATCCTGCCATGACCCAGGCTAAGGCAGGACCAGAGCACCCCCTGCTGGACACTAGAAAATGCAGCCTGGTTGAGGTAGAAGGCATTATTCCACATTCACTCCCTTATGACCCAGGCTCTTACCTCTTTGGGGCCTTGGATCAATGCGTCAAGGAATCCGCCCACATAGTGAACACAGGTATCTGGGATGTCAGCATGGCTGAAGGACACACACAATGAGAGCATCAGGGGCTATGCCCATCTAAAATGGCTGCCCTGACCACAGCAGCCTCTTCCCATGAAGATACTAACACTCACAGTGCCAAGAGATGGGTGACCACTTGATGAGGAATAAGGCGCTTCTGAGACATTGAGGACGCATCCCAGACCACAGCTTCCCGGATGGCTCCATCCTGGAATCGTCTAAGTTCTGAGCGGGATCCCCAGAACTGACGGAAATCAGCTGCCTAGGAAAGCAAAGGATGGGAGGAGACAGTAAGAAAGTTGGGGTGTAGTTCCATTGCACAGGACTGGGCTAATAACATGCCAAAGCCCTAAGCTCAATTCCAAGCAATGAAAACAGGCTGACTCAGAAACCTCAGGCCTCAGCTTGGGTAGCATGAGGTTGATCCACCCACCCCTCCCCCATGGGCAGGCTGGGGCTCCACACCTCAGGCTGGTCAGCCTCTGGACCAAGATCAAGCACACTGGTCAGTCCCTCAGGTCGGAGGAGCAATCCCAGGGTCAGGGTCCCAGAGTCCTTGTGCTTCGGTGGATCTTGGTTTATATCCCACTGTAGGAATGTAAAAAAACGTTGAGTTCAACTGGGCGATGGTGGTGCACGCCTGTGATCCCAGCACTGGAGAGGCAGAGTCAGGTGGATCTCTGTGAGTTTGAGGTTAGCCTGGTCTACAAAGCAAGTCCAGGACAGCCAAGACTACACAGAGAAACCCTGTCTCAAAAAACAAATAAACAAACAAATTTTTGCATTCAACCCAAAAATTCCCATCTGGTCTTGGAACTAACCAGCTGGGTGGCATGACTTTGGTGACACTTGGGTCCCCCAGAAACTCCCCAGTCTACATGGCCTCACCTCTAAGACTGGGGGTCGAGAGTGAGCCAGCAAGTACAGCCGGGACCCCAGACCCTGCTCCAAAATGGTGGTTAGTGGGCCCAAAATGGCTGAAATGTAGTCCCCACCATTGTCCTGCAGCTCTGGCCAAAGCTTTAGCCGGTGACATGCAGCCTGCAGGCGACTCAGTGGACGGAGACTGGAGGGCACAGAAGGACAAAGAGGAACAATCAAGACCCACTAGGCCCTTGACTACTCATCCCTGATGACCCATGCTCTATGTCCTCCCCTAAACTTACTGGACAACATGGTCAAAAGCCCGGATCATGGGTTTGGGAGTCATCAACAGCAGCTGAAATCCATCGTCAGCTTTGCTGTCCAGCAAGGCCATCGACAGTCGTGCCTCGTGCTGCACCTGGGCCACAGGGCAAGGAGAGACCACAGCTGTAACCCTCACTAGCTGAAGGGTCACATCTGGCTTCACATCTTGAACAGTAGCTTGTGGCTCCAGCACTGTCAAGGTAACAGACTCTGAGCTGGGACATACGGAGGATGTGGAAGCAGGAGCCCGTTGGTACCTGTTTGTATGTAGAAGCTGTGACATCAGCACAGAGGTTGAGGCGGCCTGAAGAGTCCAGGAACACAACTGGGAAAACCTGGTGGAAGTCAGCCAGGGCTGGCTGGGAAGCAGAGAGAAGCCAATCAGGGCTGAGCTTTACCTTCAGGCCTCTTGGCAAACACAGCTGCCCTTCCCCCACTCACCAAGGAGGGATCTGAGCTGAGAGATAAACTGATCCCATTCACAGTCAGATCCGTAGTAGCTAGAGTGAACCACAGAAGGTAAGTGTTAGAAGGGCCTTTGGGGACCCAGCCATCCCCCTCCCGCCCTCAACCTGGGTGGCTACAGCTGTCTGTCTCATACTGCGTTTTCTCATCTGTCTTGTGACATGGAACTCAAGGAGCTTTGATGGAATGAAAGAACCCCTGGCTTTTCCAGTCTGGCTGCATTACCCAAAAACTGCAGGACACTCCTCAGGACCTGGTAGCCGCTCATGCTGCTATGAATCTTGTGTTTAGACACAAGGAAGGCAACCAGCATGGAGATAAGGAATCCATTAAATCCGCCCAGGCCCTGAAAGAGGGACATGACAGAACTGAGCCCAGAAGTCCATCACACAATGAGGGGAGGAAATTAGGCCACCTCCAACTCACCTTATCCAGCTCCCGCTGCCTCAGCCAAACCTTCAGAAGTGCCACACCATTCTTCAGGCCCTGGGCAGAGCCCAGCACAGTTGACAGTAGGTCCATTTGAGCCTTGAGAGCTGTGTCCTGCAGGATCCATGTGTTGTAGAGGGGGGTAGGGGGTTCTGGGCTAGCTGTAGAAAAAAAACAAAATAAAGGCTATGAGAAAAAGAAGCCTCTATAAAGTCCTGTCCACCAACGTATTTCAACAACAGTGCCTGCTCACCACTCTCTGGAGCACTCTGTCCTCTGTACCAGGCAGAGCGCACATTATTCTTAGTTGGCAGCAGGCGGCAAGGGCGGAAGAAGTCCACAGGATGGCATGGATGCAGACGCACAGTAACCAGGCGCTCATCCTTCCCTGGGGAAGAGACAAAGAACGTTCAGATTGTACAGCTCCTGGAACAAGAGGGATTCCCTTACCTCCCTCTCGTACCCAAGGACCCATGACTTCCCACCTTAGGATGAGACCAATGTCCCTCACCTGGCCTTGAAGCTTCTATTTCTACTCCCCTAGACCTTGAGGACCTTGTGCCCCCCTCCAGAGTTACTATCCCATACTGTATGCTAAGCCCAGTATATGACTCCCACCATGTGGCCGCAGCAGCAGTAAAGGCTTCAGGTGGCAGCCTCTGCTGTAAGAGAATCGGACACTGCTGAAGAGGGGATCCTGGGCCAGGTGGTGAGCTAAGTGAGCCAGGTAAAGGGCTCGCTTGCGGAAGTAGCGCTGGTTCAGCCCATCTTTGTCTTGTAAGATTTCCTGGAGGGGTCAGGGAAGAAGAGGGAAGGTTGGACACAGAAGCGCTCATGGAGCTGGGGCTAGGTTGAGGCTAGGCTTAAGTTCCAGGGCTCACTGACTCAGGAGTGCCTAAACCAATTTTCAGACAATTTCGTTCAATTTTCAGACAAAGCGCACAAAGTCCAAAAGGGATAGCAACAGGACCTAGAACCCATGACCCATGTAGGGTCCACCCTTATCAAGTGGTAGACCCTACATTCCCCAAACCATGGGCCTTACCCTGGGCATGGTCAGTGCCACATCGACATTGATGTCTGGTCGGACACAAGTACCCAGAAGGTAGCTGCCCACGACAGTGATCTGGGATGGAGGCAGGAAGCGGAAGGAGCCCTTCACACTATAGGGCACTTGGTGGAGGGGCACTCGAACCCCGGATGGAAGCCATGACTGGTCAGTAAGCTGTAAGGTCAGAGACAGGATACATATGGATCCTACTGCCTTCCTCACAAACCCCCTAATGTACATAGACAACATGCCACTATACTAAAAGCTAAACTGTCAATCTTCCATAAATGCCTTCTCCATGAAGACAACCTGATTGACAAAAACATCTAAACCACTATGATTTACTGGAAGGGTCAGGGAAGATTTACTGTTACTCATAATCCTAGCATTTGGGAAGACAGGAAGAACGGGAATTCAAGGTCTCCCTGAACTATAAGAGACCCTGTCCCAATAAATAAATACATAAAATAAAATACCCATTTTTACTTGGAAGAAAAGGTTTAGAACTGCATCCAGCACTCAGGATGCTGAAGCAGAAGGACTGCCACCAGTCTGAGAAAAAGATGGATTATACAGTTAAGACACTATGTTAAAAAAACAAAATGTGGCTCAGCCCTCAATCTCAGTCCTTGGGGGCTGTGGCAGGACTATTAGGATCTCAAGGCCAGCCATGATTACATAAGCCTTTGTACAAACAAACAAAATACCTACAAAATTTATATAAGACACTTGTTTGTTAAGTAATGAATATATAAAGAGCTAGAATCCTGGGTGCATTTTCTTTCATGAATGATTTCCTGAGTACCCCAATCTCTCAGGAGAAGAGCAAACTGTGTCACATGACTCACTGTTCCCCCAGGCACCTGTCTTACCTCAGTCTCAGGGACTGGAGTCACTCTCTGGATCCTCTGGTTGACCTCCTTCAGGAAAGCATCAATCCTCTCTTTCTTCTTTTCTGACAGTCTTACTTCCTTCAGTAACTCCTCCACCTGTAAGAGAGGGAAGGGAAGACTGAGCCTCAGGATCCCAAGTAAACTCCTCTAATGTATGCCCTGCTACCCAAGTACCTGCAAGCGAAGCAAGCTGGAGTGAAACAAGATTTCAGTTTCCCGGAGGCGATTCAGCTCCTCATTTGTAGGCTCCTTGTATAGTTCTGCCCGACTGAGCTTCACTGGCTGCAGGAAGCCTTCTGCAGGTGACTCAGCTTTTGCACGCTTTCTTGAGGAGGCCTTCTCCTTGCCCTCGCCTTCTAGGGCAAGTTCCATCACCTATGATCAGAGAGAAAAGCTAACATGAAATCGTGGGATCTATATCCATTGCATAAAGGCTTCATATACTCTACTTCCTCCCTTTCAGTGGGCATCGGATTTTTATGAAACTTTGATTGTCTATCAATGGGAGAAATGTGACAGCACAGGTGTGCAGTCCTGCGTAGACTTGGCTGAGTTAGTTTACTGGTCACTGACTTGCCCAAAACCCTTGTGTTTCAGATACCACAGATCTGCTGAGACAGGCTTGGGCCTTTCCGAATATTACCACTACTCCTGCTCTATCCTATCTGGCCAGGGCTAGCATCCCTAAAAGTCTTTTTCCAATTATCTAACTTGGAAAAAAGTGGAAACACGATTCCTCCGGAGTGGGCCGCCCTGAAGTCCCTCACAGGACAGCTGTCAGTCCGGACCACATTAGGCTCTGTAGCCAAGAAAGCACATTTTGAGCAACCAACCTCTAGCTCCCCTGAGGCCCCGCTCAGCTGCTCTCCGGTGGGGGCCGGCCCCATTTTCACCGCAGATCACTCTCCCGCACTTGTGATTAAAGCCGGATCTACCGCGTAGCTCCCCACGTGGGCCGTAACGCCAACTCCAAGGCGCAAACCCTGGACACAGGCTGCACCCACTGCAGGACCATTGGGCTAGTGCATGCTATCTCGCTCACTATTGGTCAGTTGCTCGAAGGGTCCGCCCATTGTGGGAGGGACCAAGCGAGGTCCTCGGCTTTACTGCGGCTTTGCGACACTCTTAGACCGGAAGCGCCCATGACTCCAGCTGGTAGCGTTTTTTTCCTCATTTCCTTCTCTTGGAAGGGAAGAGGTGGTGCTTGCTGTGGCTTCCGGTGTTTTTGTCGGTGGTGGTGGTGGTAGTGTTTTTATTTTTGTCTATTTACTCTAATGGTTCTTTGCACTAACTTATCGTGTCTTTGAGCAAGCCGTGTGATTTATACCTCCAAAATATACCTTGAATTTTTTTTTTTTTTATGTATACAATGTTGTGTCTGCGTGTACACCTGCATGCCAGAAGATGGCACCAGATCTCATTATAGATAGTTTGGAGCCACCATGTGGTTGCAGAGAATTGAACGCAGAACCTCTGGAAAAGCAGCAGGTGCTCTTAACCTCTAAGCCATCTCTCCAGCCCTGTTTTTTGTTTTTACAGCCAGATTTAGTTCAAGTATCTAGAATTCTAATATAGCTTCTTTCCAGCTTTTCCTTCTTATAATGTAAGATAACTTATTCAACCACTAAAACTTTAAACACAGAAACATCGTAATAGTGAATTTCTAAATATTTCACATTTTCATTTAGTGTTAATATTTCGCCAAATTTACTTTACTTTTATTTATATATTTAATAATATATATTATTACAAAACTACTTGGACCTGGGCATGGAGGTTCATCCAATATCATTCAAGAGGCTGCGCCTGAACCGTAAGGGACACTTTCACAATGACACTTTGGCACCTACCTTTTAAGACCTCTTATCAGCCGGGCTCCGCACACACCTGGCACTTGGAAGGCAGAGTAGAGCCCAGGCTACACAGAGTAAACCCTGTCTTGAAAAAAAAACAAAATAAAACCCCTTTAATCCTAGCACTTAGGCAGAGAATCTAGCTCTGAGCTTAAGGCCAGCCTAGTCTACACAGGGAGTTTCAGGCCAGCGGAAGGGAGTAGTAAGGAGAAGAGGAGGTCAGAAGTTGGCAGCTCAGGACATACAAGACCACTCAGTGGGTAAAAGCACCTGCTACTCAGGCCTGGGACCCACTCAGGCCTGGGGAGAAGTGACTTCTGCAAGTTGTCCTCAGACCTCCACATTCATTCATGTGATACCTGTGCGCATTTACTCACACACAAAAAAAAAGAAAACGTAATTGAGGGGGGAAAAGAATTTTACTGTTATTTGGAAAACAAATAACAGTAAAAAAGAATTCTGCCCCTGGAGACAGCTGAGGATAAAAAGGTTGCTCATGGAGAGGACCTAGGTTTGGTTCGCAGCATCCACACACAAAGAGGCTCACCACTGCTACCTGTAACTCCAGTTCTAGGACATCTAGGACATCGGAAGCCCTCCTTTGGCACCAGACGCTCTCATAGTACACATACCTATATATAAATAATTTTTTTGAGTGAATCACTATGTACTCCTGGCTAGTCTGGAAGTCACAGAGATCCACCTTCCTCTGGCTCCTGACTGCTGAGATCAGAGACATAGACCATGCAAGTCATTTTAATTATTTTACTTTATGTATATGGATACAAACATACACCTCCATGCATAACTGCATATATATATGGTGGAGGCCAAATGAGCACACACTGGATCTCCTGGAACTGGAGTGACAGAGGGTTGCGAGTCAATATGTAGGTGATGGGAATTGAGCCAGTGGAAGAGCAGCCAGAGCCCTTAGCTGCTGAGCTATCTTTCCAGTCTTAAAAGTAAAATCTCAGGGCTGGAGAGATGGCTCAGAGGTTAAGAGCACTGGCTGTCCTTCAAACACATGATGGCTCATAATCATCTATAATGAGTTCTGGTGCCCTCTTCTTGCCTGCAGGCACAAATGCAGACAGAATATTGTATAAATAAATAAATAAATAAATAAATAAATAAATAAATAGATAGATAGATAGATAGATAGATAAATAAATAAATAAATAGATAGATAGATAAATAAATAAATACAAAGAAAGTAAATCTTAGCCCAGTGCACTCAGAAAGGCAGTGGCAGGTGGATCACTGTGAGTTCGAGGCCAGCCTGATCTACAAAGTGAGTCTTTGAGGACAGCCAAGGCTATACAGAAAAACCCTCTCACAAAAAAAGGAAAGGAAAGAAAAAGAAAGTAGGGGCTGGAGAGCTGGCTCATAGGTTAAGAGCACTGGCTGTTCTTCCAAAGGTCCTGAGTCCAACTCCCAGCAACCACATGGTGGCTCATAACTGTCTATATGTGATCTACTGCCTTCCTCTGGTGAGCAGGAATACATATAAGCAAAACACTGTATGCATAGTAAATAAATAAAAGTCTTTTGAAAAAAAAGAAAGTAAATCTTGGGCTGGAGAGATGGCTCCAAGGTTATGAACACTGTTCTTTCAGAGGTCTTGAGTTCAATTTCCTAGCAACCACATGGTGGCTCGGTGGCTCACAACCACTTTAATGAGATCTGGTGCCCTCTTCTGTCATGTAGGAAGAACATCGCATACATAATAAATAAATAAATCTTAAAAAAATAAATTAATCTTTTTTTTTTTTTTTTTTTTTTTTTAGACAGGGTTTCTCTGTGTCCTAGCTGTTCTGGAGTCACTCTGTAGACCAGGCTGGCTGTGAACTCAGATCTGCCTGCCTCTTCCTCCTGAGTGCTGGGACTAAAGGTGTGTGCCACCCCTCCAAGTACCTCCCCTGGCTTTGTGTCTGTGCCTAAGAGTTTCTTTGCACCGTATGTGCAGAAACTCTTGGAGGCCTAAAGAGGAAATTGGATTACTGGAAGTGGAGTTAAAGACAGTTGTGAGCCCCTGTGTGGGTATTGGGAAAGGAACCCTGCTAATCAGCAAAAATAGTAAGTCCCCTTAACCACAAATCCACATCTCCAGGCCCTGTAAGCAAATCTTGAAAAATAAAATAGAATAAAATAAAAGGAATATGAGCTGGACAGTTGTGGTGCACACCTTTAATCCCAGCACTTGGGAAGCAGAAAGAAGCAGGCTATATAAGTTTGAGGCCAGCTTTGTTTACAGAGTAAGCTCCTGGACAGCCAAGGCTACACAGAGAAACCCTGTCTCAAAAAACAAAAATTAAGTCAAAACAACAACAACAACAAAAAAAAAAAAAAAACAGAAAAATAAAATAAAAGGAGCATTGCCTGAACTTTATGGTTGAGTTTGTATTTTCATTTAAGAGGCTCTGGGTTAAAATTTTTGTAAAAATAATGATAGATACATATAAAAAATGTCAAGCTGTGCACTTGGTGTCTTGAATAGAGAATTTCATAAGTCTTAACCATAAACCAGAATCCTGGAAGAACGTCCTTGCCTTCCTATTTCATGGTTAGTTCTTTTATCTAGTTATATATAACTTTACAAACTCGCAAAATGTTGTCATGCCATTTCCCACCCTCTTTGCTTTCCTGCTCCCATTTCCCTACCTTCTTGGTTCTTTTTAAAATAAGGGGTCTTTCAACACTGCTTAAACTGGTCTTAGATATATAGACCTGAGAGAGGCTCCTGCCTCAAGTAGCTGGAACAACAGGCATTCACCCTATATCTGTGTATTTTTATTGTGTGCTCTTTATCTCTGTCTCTCTGTGTCTCTTTGAGACAAGTAAGTGTTCATTATTTATCTTTAGCTGGTCTAGAACTTGCTTACATAGACCAGTCTTTCCTTGATCTCACAGAGACCTGCCTGTCCCTGCCTCCAGAGTACTGAGATTAAAGGCAAGTGCCTTTAGTCCCAGCAATTGGAAGGCAGAGACAGGCAGAGATCAAGGTCAACCTAGTCTACAAAGTTAGTCCAGGACAGCCAGGACTAACAGAGAGTAACCCTGTCTTGAAAAGCCAAAAAAAAAAAAAAAAGAGTAAAAAACTAAAACAACAATTCAGGTCCTCTAGCATGGTAGGTAAGCAAGCACCTTGTTTGGGTTTGTGTGTGTGCGTGCGTGCGTGTGTGTGCTGTTGTTTTGTGATAAGGTTTCATGTAGCCCAAGGATGGCCTCAAATTTTTTGTGGTGCTGAGGATGACCTGGAAATATTGATCTTCTTGCCTCTATTCTAACTTGTTTGTGTCTATTCCTATTTCAGCCATTAGGAATAATGGCACAAATTATTTTTATTTTGTTTTTAATTTTTTTTTTTACCATGTATTTTGTGCCATGACACACACGTGCAGGATATCTTATAGGATGGTGGTGAGCAAGTGTCTTAAGATGACTTTCGACTGACTGTTTCCTTCCTTTCTGAGTAACCCAGAATGGCTTTAAACTCACTGTAAATGGAACTTTCATTTGCCTGTTTCAATTGTTGTCTCAGAGGCTTACTGCCTCTGTCTGCTAATCTAGGCCTCGGCCTGGAAGCTCCTAGCCTCCGTACAATCTAACCTAGGCCTAGAATGTTTTCAGCCTCTGAGACTTACTGCTGAATAAGCTCATCCTTTTACTGAGCTCTGGCTGAGCTGGTTCAACTCAGCTGTTCTGGCTCAAATTCCTCTCCCAGCTGAGTTACTCAATGTGGATTCTCTCTCACACCCTGAAATTGCTCTTCTTGGCCTCAAACTAACTCCAGCCATCTGCTCTTATATTCTGACTCCTCATTCTCTAGCTTGTTCTGCCTTCAACCTCTCTCTGTAAAACTCTCCTGGTTAAGCCAGGTGTGGTGGTGCACACCTTTAATATCAGCACTCAGGAGGCAGAGACAGGCAGATCTCTGTGGGTTGGAAGCCAGCCTGGTCTACAAAGTGAGTTGTTACACAGAGAAACCCTGTCTCTTCATTGTCCCCCTTTTTTTTTTTTAAGATTTATTTATTATGTATATGAGTGCTCTATCTGCATGTACACATGCACACCAGAAGGGGGAACTAGATCTCACTGT